AATAATAATAATAATAATAATAATAATAATAATAATAATAATAATAAAGATGGTGTGATCAGAGTCTGAGCCTCAGCACTCACCTGCCTGTGAGGTAGGCCTTCCCCTGGTTGGTGTCATTTGGAGAGGCAGGAAGAGAAAGTAGGACTTGCACTATTACCATCATCACTTCAGAAAACAGAAGTGACCCAGGATTAACTGGCAGCTTCAGCTGTGCTTTGCTCTCTCAACAGAAATGATGTGCTTGATGGAGGGCTGGGAGAAAAGGCGAGGCCACAGCACTTGCCTTCTTGGACCATTTCTACTTAAAGGAATTAATTAAACGATTGTCATCGGAGGAACGGGACAAGGCCTCGGGGAAATTCGTGAGCACCTCCCCAGGAGGAAGCCATTCACTCGCTGGAGTCACCTGTGCTCTGGACAAGACATCGGGGGTCCTAGCTTTCATAAATGGAACATTTGGACTAAAACAGATTAAATGTTTATGGGAGGTGACACGCCCAACAGCTGAGTGCTTATTTATGTAAGATCTCTGCCAAAAGAACCCACACACTATTTAAACCACGAGAACCCTCAAGACCCAGGAGCACCTACCTGCAGCCCCAGAGTTTGAGGCCGGTTTACAGGCACAGTGAAAGAGCCTAGCTGGATAACATAACCGTACGTCCCTACTGGAGGCTCCATTACTGGAGTCACTTAAGCCTCGCGGGACAAAAAGCACCAGGGCCATTTGCTGTAGGAAACAAACCTCCAGACAGTGGACAGGGAGGGAACGACCTAATGGGCAGTGTGTCCTCTGTTAAGAAAGGCCGGCCTGCAGGCTGTTGTGAAAGCTTATGCCCCAATTATGCCCCAACAAGAGGGGTACTTCTTATTTGGAGAATGAAGGGAGGGGGAGCCCAGAATTTAACATTTACATCGCCATTATCAAAGGCCTGGGCAATTTTCCCTAGGAATAGTATTTTCAAGATATCATGGAAGGGGGGCGGTGCAGGCTGCAGTCTTTACTCAGGAAGGGTAGGAAGGGTGTGTTTCTGTCTGACTGTTGTTCGGGAGTGGGTGAGATTGGGGGTAACCTTACCCGTCTGCTTACAAGGCCAGGTACCTGCCTTTATTGTGATTCAGTGTGAAACGGCGTGCCTGGTCCATGGAGCCGGAGCCAGCGCCAGCCGCCCTGTGTCTGTCTGCCATCGGAAGGGAGCGTGCGCTGCCTCCGTTTACTATTTCAATAAGTGTTTATTGTTAGCTGGCATAAGGCAGAACTAGGGAAAGGGCACAGAGAGTGGGGTGAGTTTGTGTGTGTGTCTGCACACTCACGGCTGTGTGGGAGGGAGATGGAGCTGTGTACATGTGTCAAAGAAGAGTGCATAGCTTTTCCTTCTAGGTGAATATGATGCTTATTACAAGCTTCATTTTGGGTTGAAATACAGAAACTAACATAAAATACAATGTCAACCTAAAATTATTATTCTGTGAAATGTATAATATTTTCAATGGCCACCACTGACATGAAATGAAAAAAAAAAAAGATATTTATCATAAAATTGGTGTAATGCCCAAATGGGATCTTTCCTATATAGATAGATCTTCTGCCTTAGGATATCTGTGAGTCTGTACAAAGGTCTGTCTCTCTCTCACGTGTGTGTGGTGGCGGTGTCTACCTGGTCGGGGTTGAAGGCAGACATCTATGGGCTGTGGCCTACTTAACATTGTTACACATTCGTATAAGTCTTGGGATTTTCGGGTGTCCTTGGTGCCGGAGAACATGCAAGGGACATGTCTCACGTGACAGAGCCACCACTGAAGAGCAGGTTTTGCTTCTTCTCTGCTGTTTCTTTGTTTACTTATTTTCACAAGGGTGAGTATTTAACATTTAGGACTTTAATAACCTCTCAGCATTCTTTTTCTCGTGAACAATTCTGAATGGAAGGCATGGCAATTCCATTCAGAAGTCATGGCTGAGGCAAGGGCTTATCTGCAGAACTGATTTATAAATGCAACTTTCCCCCTGTCCCCCGACAAAGAGGCTAGCGGTATTATTGCAAATAACCTTTAAGATAATTAACTGACAATACTGCAACTAGCATAAAATCTTCCTTCAGGCGACACCTAATTTAAGTGTTACTGGCACAAAGTGGGGACAGATTGTGCATTACCCACGCAATATTTACACAGCAGAAACCCACAGAGCGGGAGACGCCAGGCTCAATGAAGCACTAAATTAGAACAACCGCACTCAGCGTTAATTCCTTCCACGCTTTCCAAATCTCAGGTCCAGAAATCGGTACAAACCCATATCCAGCCTCCCACCCCGAAATGACCGAACCGAAGGAGACGGAGGTACTTTTTTCATAACACCCCACCCCCATTAAAATAACTTGAAATTTATTTCTTTTCTCCACAAGAACCATGTGGTCAAACTGTGTCTATTCCGCTACACCACGCTCTCACTTTGATCTGGAATTATTTTCATACAGGTGCTGCATGGAAGACTATGCAGCAGAACCCAAGCAGACGTTTGCTTTTCTAAAGCTGCCAATACAGCTTATGAAAAATAAAATAAAACGAGAGGAGCCGATTAGTGAGGTATTTAGGGAAAGGGATGGTTGTCCACACTCAGCGATTTTCTCAATGACAAATGTTATTTCCATCTCACAGTTCCTCTCCCTCCTGCCAACGCAATGAGTTCTCCTTAAGCCATCCAAATGGTATCACTCATTTCCATCCTTGCCATAGTAATTTAAACCACCGCTCGAGGCAGTGACAAAACACTCACCTTTCCCAGCTGCTGGTGTTCTCTGAAGGCGGCAATCAGCTCTTCAGCCCACTGAACTTTTTCCGGGGCTGGAGTAAATTGTTCTTGTACCACAGAGATCTGGCTAGGGTGGATCACCTGTTTACCTGCAGAGAGAGGGGCCACACTGCAGGCTCGGCACAGACACAAGCCGGGCGCTCCGTGCTCAGGACACCAACAGCACAGCCTAAACCTCCAGACAGGCTTCCCCAGAAAACCACGCGAGAACAGTATTCTAGGTGTATACAGAAGTGCCACTTCAGTATGGAAAGTCTCTCATTTTTAGTTACAGGTGGCTGGACGAGGTAGCTTTTTTAAATAACTACTTTGCTTGGATTTTAACTGGAGATTTCTGCAAACTCTCCATTATAAAGGTAGAATGAAATGGAATGAGAATTCTCTCAGCTTGTGTGAGCCTTCTGCCTGTTTGGGATGGTTATCATAGCCACAACGTGCCGATGGCTCAGCAGACGTTAGGACCACATCAGCACCAACTCCCGCCTTACATGGTATTTTCCTTTGTTTTGAGCGTGTCATTTTAAACATGTCTATTTCAACGAACATATGTCTAGAATTGTAAAGTAAATGGCAAATTTGAGTACTGTGGCATCTAGATTATTATATTTAAAATTTTTAAATAAAAAGATTACAGAAAAAATTATCCTCCAAAAATATATCCATATCTCTTTCTTCTTATGAGAGTTGGTTTATCTTTAAATTATAAGAAATTATATCTACACAGAAATACCTTAAAAAAATCTTTGACTCTCTTTGAACTTTAAGGATGTTAAATAAAAACACTATCATTATGTAGGCCTCAAAGGATTCTACATAATTATGACATTCTTAATAATAATAAAAAACAATTTCACAATCAGGGAAGTATGGGATTTAATCAGGTCATTAATAAAATGCAATATAATTTAATGTCATAACAATGAGATCATGTCCCATGCCAAAGTTATGACTGTAAATTGACTCTTTAAACCTGACATGTACTTAACGGCTGCTAACTGTATCTGTTACCACATCAAATTGCTTTGCTCTAAAACGGCCGTTTCAATATTTAACCACTCTGCGTTAGAGCTCACATGCTTTATAAACTACCAGTTTCTGTTCCTATTCTTCTGTTGAATAAAGAAACAACAATGTCTGCAAAAATAGTAAAACAGGAATTTTCTCATGTGTCTCAAGAAAAGAAGCTTAGATGAACAGATAATACTCCTTTTAAATCCCAGCATAATTAAAACATTCTATGTTATCATTTCATTCTTGCCTGTTGGCATAGTAGAAAAATATTAAGAATCTATGTATATAAAAGCCCTTTAAACTATTTGAAGACTAATTTTTGGAGACAAATAATAGGAGCTACAAATGTGAACTACTTTCAAATAGTAGGTATCAATTCCACATTTAATTATTTTAATAGTTGTAATAATATTATTTTAAAAGCTTGTCAGCACCCAGTAGTCATTTCCTAATTGTTAGTCTTGGATTTCATAATGTATGTACATGATTTACATTGCTGCGCAAAAATGCGACTGCAGGGAACTCTGGTGCGGCCCTGGGATGTGAGGGGCAAACGTAGCTAGTTAGCTGGGTCCTCCTGAAGCCTCCTGATGGCTCAGGGCACCCGCGTCTGAGGGGAGGCCGCTGCCAGGATGGGCTTGGTTTTACGCTCTCATGCCAACGAGTCTTTTGTCAGTTTGTATACATTCCAGGGATGGTAAAACCGGCTTTAGTGCCATGTGGGAACCAAGCAAATATTTTATCCACAAGAGTTGTTATTGACAAGTTACCAAGAGGGTGCAAAATTGGACGACATTAAAATTTATGACCGTGAGATCCTTTTTACAGGAGCACTTGATATATCTTGCTTTCAATCAATACCTGTCAAGTCTTTTAGGTAACTGTATGATGGTGTCATTTTTGTCTTCTACAAAAGACTGCAAAAACATAGAAAAAACCTATATTGCTTCATATTTATAATCTTGCCTCGCAGCATGTAGTAACTAATGGCTAAGGCAATGGGAAAAGCTCTCTCTCGCTTTTAGGTTAGTTATCTTTTTGTTATTTAAAAAATCCTAAAGTTAACGGCCATGTATACAGCCAACGGACTGATTTTTAAAGCAGTGTGAGTGGGGACCCATGCAGTAAAGGTGGCAAAAACCAAACTACAGCCCACTGTCTGCCGTGATGCTAATTGCTTTTTGGGGGGAGGAAAAAATGGAAGGGAGAAATGACATAATTTTATTATAATCTTATGAAATAAAACTAAACACGTGCACGTATACATTTACATTTTCAGATCGAAGCACAGACAACCCTTGCTCTGACCTAGTCTTCCTCAGTGTTACGAATAACAGGGCACTTTCATTGACGCTGCAACCTCTGACCACCTGCTTCAGACAAGTACTGCACAGTAGGTGACGACACTCTGTCTTCTCCCTTCTCTCCCCTTCTTTTGCCACTTCCTTCCCTCTCTTGTACAAGGCTTACGGTATCACAATTAAATTCTAAAAATTAGTACCCTAAGATAATGAATGGCTTAAAATAGTAAGAGCATGATTTAAAAACTACATGTCTCAGAGCATTTGATTATCTTTTATTAGTATGTAGAAACATAGTTGGGGCAAGAAAGACCTTTTTCTTTTCTTTTTTTTTTTTTTCTCGAAATCAGCGTGTATGGAATGTGGCCCCAGCTCACAGCCTCTGTCCCTTGGACGCACAATGGGCCCTGGGGCCTCGGCGCCTCCCCATATCCGGCCTCCATCTTCCTGTGATCTAACACTCCCCGTTGGGCAGAGACAATAGTGCCAGATCCAGAAGTTCTTCGCGCTGAGCTGGGCACAGTCTAGACATTTAAACCGGATTTGAAAGAGCTTGTCTTCTGAGATTGAGTTGGGGACCAATTTAATTCAGGTCTGTATCTTGAGAAACCTTTGAGCTCAGAGGAAGCTGGGGGGAAAACCAAACCAAAACAAAACTAAAAACTAAAAACCAAACCAAGAACACGCAGGGCCGGTGGCTGAGGCCACAATGCCTGGCAGCCAATACCACACACTGTAGCCCAACAACACCAGGCTCTATTAGATAGATTTCATGGAGCTTTTTCTCCAACTTTTCCATTTGGGCCACATTCTAACTGGCCACTCAAAGGAGGCAAAGACAGGCAGGCCTCACCCTTGCCTGGATCAGCAAGGGGGTCCCTTTTCTCTCAGTCCATATAGTTCAGAGCATTAAAAAAACATTTCTGTGCATGGGATCATATGTTTTTAAGCTTAAAAAATCAGGGGCTCAGGTTTACTTCAATGCTCTAGTATACACAGAAGAGGTCATCGAGTTTACTTCTAAGATAACTATGCTGTTGTTTAAGCCTTTTCATCTTGTTTTAGGATGAGACGTCCTCCAACAACAGACAGTTTTTCATTTTATGAGACCTTCAGTTAAACTATAACTAGTACAGTATCAAAATTCTTTAAAAAGGGGATAAGAGCAGCCCTTCCTTCTTCCTTCTTCCTTCCTCCTCCTTCTTGCTGGGTATATCTATAGTAAACAATCTTAGCACTTTCATCATAAGAATAAATGAGAAAGAAAGAATACACACACAAACATGCCTGAACACACAAACAGGGCTATTTATGCATAAGATTCTATTAAGGCTTTTAAAAGACAAAATTCTGTTGCAAAAGCCTGATTTTCAGTTTCCCTGGACTCAAGGGTATGGGAGTGCTGAGCACACTGATGGCTATCAGTTACCTGCCTGTCCCCCATACAGGCCTGTGCAGGACCCACTGACCCAGGGCCAGCCTGTACTCACAGGTGCCGAAGGTACAGACACTGACTGGGAGACATGGAGGACAGAGGGCCTTCAGTGGCCAAATAACTTTAAAAACTCATGAGCAAAAATTAAATCACAGGCAGTACAACTAAAACTTAAATAATACTAAAGCTATTTTAGGAACACCTTCTTTCTTTCTTCCTCTTCCTTCCTTCCTTCCTTCCTTCCTTCCTTCCTTCCTTCCTTCCTTCCTTCCTTCCTTCCTTCCTTTCTTTCTTTCTTTCTTTCTTTCTTTCTTTCTTTTCTGTGCGCTGGTGTTTTGCCCTCCTGTATGTCTCTGGGTGTTAGATCTCAGAGTTACGGACAATCGTGAACTGCCATGTGGGCACTGGGGATTGAACCTGGGTCCTCTGGAAGAGCAGTCAGTGATCTTAACAGCTGAGCTATCTCTCCAGCCCTAGGAATATTTTCTTATATTTTACCAATCTAAATTCTGACAGTTACTTACTCTGAAACCACCCATAATAGCCCCAGCCCTTGCCTGGGATCAGCTCAAACTATACTGAAATACTGAAAAAGACAGGGAAAAAAAGTTACAACTGTAAAGAAAAAATTCAATCAAATTTATGTTTTGTAATTTGCAGAGACGAAGGAAGGGAGAGAGAGAAAGAAAGAAAGAAAGAAAGAAAGAAAGAAAGAAAGAAAGAGAGAAAAGAGAAAAAGGGGGAGAGAGAGAAGCACCCTCAGGCAGGTACTTATCCCCCAGGTGTCCTCTGCCCTGAGCAGCCTCCCTTGTTTCAGGGTAAGAGGTGTATTTTTTCTTTTTTCTGGAATGCCTAATGGACACACGCTCTTTAAGGGAATGCCAGGAAGCGTACCGGTGAAGCCCATGGAGGCTGCTTCTCTCGACTGCCTGAGAAGTCCGTCTGTATCCCGGAAGTCAATGTAGACGAGGTCTATGGCTTGTAGGCCAAAGGCCTTCGCCACCACCACAACCTTCTGCCGGGCGTAGAGGATGTCCTGGCTGTCCTTATTGCTTGTTGCACCTAGAAGTGGGATATGCACAGAGATGTGAGGCCCGGACCTTGGAGGCACAGCCAGACACATACCTTAGAACCCAGGTTACCAAGACATGCATGTCCCCTGAGCACTGTGTCCAGAAAAGCGATTGCTCAAATACCCCAGAAGACAGGTAATTGGGGAAGACATGGTGAACGGCACATGTGTCTGGTGAATGGCCTGGTTTTCAGTATAATCACCTGTACACACACCAGGGAAAGGCCCCTTCTGTATTTCTGGAGGTCACAGCAGCCCCTGACAGATTTTTTCCCTTCGTGCTATCACTTGGAGAGGGTGAGTCCAAAGACAGCACTACCAGTGTCCAGGAGGTGGCGGGGGGGGGGGGGGGCAGGGGCGTCTCAGTGGCACATGCTGGTTTCCTCACACCTGTCCTCAAGGGTGACCCTGCCAGTGCTGTGTGGTCCTCCTGGAGCACGTGGGGACTGGGAAAGGTTCCCGTCTGGGGAGAGGCGTACAGTGCCTGCATGCTCTCTGCAGTCCGCTCAGCTGTGGGCACAGGGATGTCTCCGGGGAAGACTTATATTAAAATGCAATTTTTCTTTTGTGCCCTGAGAGGAGGGAGTGTGTGCCCCCAGCCCACTGGGACATGGGTCTGAAAACACTTTCTGTAACCATGGCCTCCAACCACAGGAATACGGGTGAAGTGCATCCGTAGATCAGAGCAGGGCCAGTAAACATTTAGCAAAAAACATTCTGAAATACATACTAAGGCAGATTTATAATCTCTCTTCAAAAATGTTCACTTACTACATTGAATGCAGAAAGTACTGAATTAGGACCACCGCACTTTAACGTTCTGTTTAGAGGCCCAGGACGTGGACTGGCCTGAAGACAGATTTAAACCAGTATCAGGCTGTTTATATAACATTGGTAGAATCCAAGTAGACCCCACACATTCTTGAACATGCCTGACGTTGGAAGGGATTTTATTAGTTATTTTATAAATGAGCAGAAGTAAGAATGCAGGATTCCGGAAGCAGGAGGTGAAGCCCTAAATTATCAGGAAGTGGTGGTCAGCTAGTTGTCATGAAGAGCCATGGTCAGGGCTAGTAAATACACATTGTTATGTAAATGTCCATTTGTGAAGGGGCAAAGAAAAAATCACACACACACACACACACACACACACACACACACACCACTGGGGGCAGGAGGAGTTGTGTGAGAGAGAGAGAGAGAGAGAGAGATCTTTGACACCTATGCTGGCTCGAAAGTCTTCTCCTCCAAAAACGATTGCATCCAGGAAAAGACCCACTGGAGGCCCGGTCTTCAGTGCCTCTTCACACACGGCCTGGAGAAGAGCAGGACAGTCTCAGGCTGGACACAGCGCGAGGCAGAGAAAAGATTCAGGTCCTGGCAACTGTGGGGGAAACAAACTGAGCCCTTCCCCAAAGCACTTAATGCTCTTCAGAGAAATGCTCGTGCGCATTGGCTTTGCCAGCTGATACATCGACACAGCCGTCACCAGGTAGGACAGGGAATGCTCCAATTACAGGCCATCCGATTCGCTAGACAACTTTGGGTTAACTCTTTTAATTTCTACTATAAGTAATTCATGTCTCTCCAGAATTTGTTTTTGTTTTAAGAGATTATTAAATAATAAACATAAAACCACAAGAGAGGAGGGAAAAATTCTGAAATCAAACTAATTGGATTATTTGCATTAGGATCAAGGAAAATGGTTTCAGGCTTAAAGTCAGCAGTGCACAAGCTGCAGCTTCGGAGGGAAAATAAAAACGCGACCAGTCACCCAGGGCGTGAATAAAGCGCCTCTGACTCATCCGAAGGAAAGCAAAGACGAATCACGTTCACGTAGACATTTAATGGTGAGTCTTGGGTCACGGGGCCGCAATGTGCTAACGTGTGTGGATGGGAAAAGTATGAAGAACGTGGTGGGGAGACTGTTGATTGGTCTCAGGCCTTGTGAGAGCTCCTAAGTACAGAACCGAGTAAAACGGCAAATAATGCTTTAAATTTAAATCACCGTGTCTCTGATTCCAGCTCAGGGCTGTGCTTCTGAGTCTATTCCAGGGGGGCTGGGGAGGGCTGAGAAGTTCGTGGTTATTTGTTTAAAGGAGTTGGTCACGAGACAGGGCGCGAAGCAGCCCTCCGCCCCTCCTGCCCCTCCAAAGCTTCCTCCGAGCATTTGCTGGTACATTGTCCGTTGCAGGTCAGCCACTTCTGTTTTTAGTCATTTCTTTTGTCTTGCCCTCTTGAGTGGAAAAAAAATAAAATAAAACGCAAAAACAAAACAAAAACACCAAGGGCTAGAAATTCCAAGAAGGGGGTACAGGGGTGCCAGACAGCCATTCAAGGCAGGTGGTATGAGACGCACATTTTGGGAAATGATATAAAGGCCCACGGATCAAGGGGGACAAATGAGCTTGCTATGAATCTGGTAAGGCAGGTAGTTTAGTGTAGCCACACAGTGGCTGCGAATTGGCTCAGCTAATCTTTTTGAATGTGTGTTTAAAAACAAAAACAAAAACAAAAACAACACTTTATTTTTGAAACCTGGCAAAGTGAAACAGGAAACTACAAATTACTTATATATACAAACTATAAACAGTAATCATATCTGCAAGGGACTACAGATAACAGCACCATGGAGAGGCCTGGATTTTTGCACATGGAAAGACAACTGGTAGGAAAAACAATTCAAATTCAATATATAAATGTATCAAAATATAATTTTCACAGTTAAATCTATACATGTACTAATTCAAAGCATATATTTATTCTGTGATTTTTATATTTATGCATACTCCAGGAACATAGAAATGTTTGTTTAGATCTTTGAGTCTGAGAAGGCCTTTTTTAACTAGTTTCTTTGTCTTCCAAGACATTGACAACCTTGTTATTGGAGTAGGACAGATAAGAAATGGTTTAAATACTTTGTTTATAAATCTTTCTTTAAAAAAATATTAAATAGATGTTCAAATAAAAAAAATTAAAAAAAAAAAAAAACCAGAAATTCTCTTTAGGTGATCGAAGTAAAACACTAACTCACATAACCATGTTATGGCTTCCTTACCTTAAGATTGAGCAAACCCATTGCAGTTTCCACAAAGGGGATTAAATTCATTGGCTGTTCAAGTTTTCGGCCTTTTAAGTGGAATGAAAATTTGTCTGAAAACTAAAATCAGAAATGTCACAGGTGATTAGCAACAAACCAGAAGCTCAGCCCCTGAAAGGCAGACAGAGGAGAGGGGCTGAAGGCCTGACCTGAGGAAGTGAAGCCCCCAGCCTCCTACACCCAACAAAGGAATGGGAGGGGCAGGGAGGAAAAACGAAAGGTAACAAGTTCCCCCAAACCCCAGAGAGAAATCTCAAACGCCACAGCCCCCTCCCTCCAAAAGGAATAATCTGGGGCCCAGGAGTGAGAGGAAAGCAGAGAGCCCCAGGTTTAACCCTTCCCGGAACACATCTTTACGGGGCCTCTCGCCCCCACTGGCCCCTCCTCCGCTGAATGCACATGGCAGGCGCCCAGAACAAAGCCCACTTCTCTACCTGCCCCTTCTGTTTTGTTTCCAACCCAACCTCAACACACGTGCAACTGTTGGCTGCCTTTTCCGTACGCAGGACCCATGTTCCTCGCTGTAGGGCCCTTACCCTTTGTTCGGGGGCTTTTCCTCATAATTTTTTTAAGCTTACCTAGGAAGACCTTAAAAAGCAAGTTTAATTCTTTGAAGACCAAAGCTTGCCAATTTTTTCCATGAGACCAGTTCACAGCTAGCTCTGTGCTGCCAGTGGGGTAGCCCAAATTCCAAAATCTATCATCTGGAAACATACAAAAGCTCTGGCAGATCCCTATACCCTGTTTCAGAAAGGGGGGGCCACGATCTAAATTGTAAATCTATTATGTCTATCTAGATCTAATAAGATGTGGGAAGATTAAGAAAAAAAAAAAGAATGAAACACAGGTATAATAAAGATATTTTTGTAAATAAAGTTGAAAACATATATATCCATTTAAATTTAAGGAATATTCAACCATTAATGGATATCAAAGGAAAAGGGAATTTTAATCATCTCTCCATTCAGTCTCAGTTGGGTAAATCATATCTAAGAGATTTGCATAAATATAAACCATCAAAGACTTTTCATCTTCAAAGGGGGTTTCAAGACCCTATAAGCTTTGTACTGTAATCATCACAGGTCAGCACCCTGCCGGAGGAAGGCTGCTATGGCAACATAAAAAACTAATGCTTAGGGCTTAGCATAATATTCTCACTAATAGAAAGGAAACTCATTTTAAAGGCTGGCAGCCTATTTACCAGAGCAGGATTAAAGGTGTTATTTCCCTTCTTACCTGCCCCTCCTTGCCTGAGCGCCCCCCTAAAAAACCTAATCACTGGAATCTTTAAAAAGCTTTTGAGCGATTTGCAGTAACTTTACAATTAGGCTAAAATAAATCACAGCTTTCAGTAATGAAGAATGATTCCCGCTGCTCCCTGCCCCTCCCTTTCAGCCGGCGTCACCATCACCTCCTTGGTAACTTTCAGGGGATGGAATAACCACCATAACAGCCAGGGTGAGGAGAAGGCTAAAGGGACCCGGCAGCCTGCATGGTACTAGATGCCGTGAAAAAGAAAACATAATTTATGTTATAATTAACCTTGAAAATGAGTAGTGAAATATTGGTGGCTTGGGTGTTGAATACTTTGCTGTTGATTTTCTTTTCTCGTTAAAATAAAAAAAGAAAGAAAGAAAGAAAACTCCCAAGGCTACTTGTACCATTCTCTGTGATGGCCATTATAACTACAAAAAATCGTAAAGTTTACAACTAGGTAAATCTTTTACAAGATATTCTCTGTTCTTAATGAACGAAATCTCCAATGCCGTTTGCTTTATAGCCAATAGGGGCATTTAAAAATTAAATATGCCGGCCCCTCCCCCTTCCCATCGCCTTCTTTCTTAAAAAATTGCATTAAGTACTAACACAAAAGGTAACTAGTGGAGAAGTTTCAATTAATTTTTTCAAAAGGAGACGATTAAATGTTTCCGGCCTGGTAAAGTGTTCATTTCATCGAGGTGGAGGGGACTGGGGAGGGGGCGTGAGGAAAAGAAGGGGGAAAATTACAAAGACTCGGGGGAGGAGATGAAGTAGCAGGGCTCAGCGATTCTTTCAATTCCAGTGCACACCCAATAGCGTGTTGGAAGAAAGCGCACTGTTGGGATTTGTGGGAGAATTGTCCCGCGACAAAAGAGGCAGAGTTACGCTTGTTACAGCCCAATAAGCCGTGCCAGTCAGACAAGAGCCCACACTAACGACAAAAGGCGAGCGGGCGATTCTCACACAAAAGAAAACAAGTAAGCCCATCTTTCAGTTGCGCATCGGGCTTGAGGCTTTAGGCTTCGCAGAAATACAAACGGAGAGGAAAAATAAACAGCCCGAGGACTGCTAACGGGAAGTCCTGTTCCGATTGCAGAATGTCCCCACGTCCCAGGAAGCTGTGGCTCAGGATTGGGGCGGTCACCCCATCTTAGCTGAACGGTGGTGCTGGTGCGAAGGCATTAGGACGAATGCAGAAGGAAGAGGGATTTCGGGCGCCTCCATCAGCTTAGTACATATCTGAATGGGGTTGAAGCCCTCAGGACATTAATATGCTCTAAACTGTATCTCTAAGCATCTAAGCCTAACCTTGGCGAGATCCCCAGTTTACTAAGCAAACATAAGCCCTCCCCAGTGTAAAGCTGCCAACACAGATACCGTGGCATCTCCAAGTGGAGCAGAGTGACTTCACAGCTTATATTCAACCAATAGAGCCCAAATTTTATTACTGCAGTATGGAATCAATCTAAAAAAAATTGAGATTATTTTTAATTTTTCTTTCTCTACTTAGAAAGAATATCAAGTATCTAAGCTCAGGCCTGTGTGCATCTTTCTTGTTTGGAGCACAGCCACATTTCAAATGCTCACCCGTGGCTGGTGACCCATGTATTGGGCAATAAAGACCCAGGACATTCAGAGGATTAAAAAGCAAGTGGTTTGGGGCTGGAGAGATGGCTTAGTGGTTGAGAGTGCTGTGTTCTTCCAGAGGGTCCGGGTTCAATTCCCAGCACTGACTCGGCAGTTGTCTGTAACTTCAAGGGTTCTGACACCCTCATTCAAACATGCAGGCAGAACACCAATGCACGTGAAATAAAATTGTTTTTAAAGTCAGCAATTTTACCAGGAATGGCACCTACCCAGCACATTGCTGAGCTGGGCCCACAACCTTCAGGGAACCCCTACTATCCACACAGTCCCCACTCCCAAAGGTTCTGCCCCCAGTGGCACCATAAACTGGCATTTTATTCAAGGCCCTTGCGGGATAATAGTAACTCCCTATCAGCCCCCCCCCCCCATCTCACAATTAAAACAATCATAGCATAATTGGGCCCATTTCAAAGTTTTCTTAAGTAATTTGACATGCCAACCACTTTACATTTCAGGCTTTTATTGGCTGAAAAGTCTGTCATGAAACGCAAACACACCTGACAGCAATTTAAAAAAGGGCGCAGCACAGAGCTGTTCAGGAAATAATATCTGAGCTAATTAAAACCACGAGTTAAAAGCTTCCTGTTTCTCCCTCCAGTTGCCCTAAGGAGTGACCTTTTCCTCCCTTCACTGGCTCTTTGCTTCATTTGCAGCCAGAGTCCCTCCCTGCCTACAAGGGCTCCAGACCAGCCTCGGCCAGAACAGCTATGCCATGGCTCTGCCAAGTAGAAGCCCTGGCTTCCTGGGCGGGGAGGGTGCTCAGGCAAGTCAGTCTGCAGGGGCAGACTCTGGAGGGCTGCTGAGGAGGTGGCTCTGCCCAAACCACAAATCCAGAAGACAAAAGCAGTGTTTCCAAAGAGAGCTATTCCACGAACAGTGGGGAAGCTGGATTACAGGGGGTGGGGTGGGGAATGTTTCCTTTTACCACTCACTCCTCACAATCCCTTCTCTCCTTTCTTTTTTTGAGTTAGATCTCATGGAGCCCAAGCTGGACTCAAACTTGCTACGGGGTTGAGGAAGCCCTGGAACTTGTGATCTTCCTGTACCTATCTGCTGAGTGCTGGGATTACATGCATTTGCCACCACAGCCGGTTGGTGCGGTGCCGGGAGTCAAACCAGGGCCAGTGGCTGCGGGCAGTCTCCCAGCTGAGCTGCACATTTCCCTCTCCCCTTCCTCTCCAACTTGCTCCTGCGGCACTGAGTGAATCCGGGGCCTCTCACACACCAAGCAACTGCGCTACCCGTGGGCTGTCTCCTGTGTGTGCACTTCTAAACTGATGCCCCCACACCCTCTCTCCGGGGCTCCTTCGCTGGTCTGCCCAGCATAGAGAAGCACCACTTACCCACTGGATTTCTTCAGGGCCTTCTACCTTTGGCAGCATCAGGCTAGAGGGAAGAGCTCTGGCCTGCAGAAGTGTCTCTAGGTCGGCTTCCACCAGACCACTGGACACAGAGTTGATTCTCACACACTTTTCTGTTCTGCCCAGGTCAAAGTCGTCAAGAGTCTCTGCTATTCTCAATCGGGCTTCAGTCTGTAAATATTGAGAAAATGTAGCTCCCAAGTTTATTCTTACCATTAAGGAGAACCCAAATAACAGTCTCCAGAGTTTGATCTGTACTCACGAACACTGTGATTGGGGTAACACGCTCCCTGCCCAGCCAATGATACCGGAAGTGAAGGCTTTCTGTACATTGTTCAGAAAGCTGAACAAAGATGGCGGAAACACGGGGTGCACCATCGGGCATACTGGTGCAGTGACTGGCACAGTGACTTGCTCATTAGCGACTTTCCAGGTGAGGAAGTGGGCATTAACGATGAACTAAGCATGTTCCAGGTCTTTTACCCACATTTCTTCGTTTAATAAGTCTCAGCACCTGGAAGCCATCAGAACTGTGGCCATGTCACCTGTCAGCATATTCATACTAGGGAAAGCTAAGCATTTGCTATCCTGCTCCACAGGTATCACACTGTAAACAAAATCCTCTTTTTTATTTTATTTGTTTTGTGACCAAGTTGTGTCTTGACATTCGATTAAGAAGGCGCTCATGGGGCCTGACAGGACCACGTGAGAAGCTCCTGCCAACTCAGGCGGAAACACCAACCTCAAGCAAGAAATCCCTCCACAGAGGCTTGACACATAGACTGTGTTCTCTGACCTGACAGTCTTTGCTGCCGTTATGAAAAGCTGAAAGTCACATTTGAATTATCCTGAGAAAAACTGTATGAGACCAAGTGTGTTACGTGTGAGCTTTGAGTTTGATGGGTATGAGCAAGGTGCACATTAAAAGGGGTGGGGGTTGGTGCTGAGAGAAAGGAAGCTCTTGGGGCCATTATTTCCTGCCAATTCTGGTTTCAAAAACAAAGTTTTCCATCTTGCCAACAGCCCTCAACAAATTCTCACTGCCAGAACGAATATGCTTACAAAAGGTAGCTTCATTTGGGAAGAATTTTTATTACACCAATAAAAATTTAAAGCATCTTAACTACTGATGAATGCATTAAAAGAAAAAAAAAGTCTTAGAGCCAGGAATGGCGGTGCATGTCTGTCTTTAATCCCAGCACTCGGGGTTGGGGGGGGGGGAGCGGGGGAGAGGCAGGCGGATCTCTGGGAGTTCAAGGCCAGCCTGGTGTACAGAATGGCTTCAGGACAGCTGGGATCCTGTTACACAGAAAAACCTTGTCTTGAAAAGAAAGGAAGGAAGGAAGGAAGGAAGGAAGGAAGGAAGGAAGGAAGGAAGGAAGGAAGGAAGGAAGGAAGGAAGAAAGAAAGAAAGAAAGGAGCAAGGAAGGAAGTTTTGGAGCTGGGTATGGCTCAGTGGTTAGGAGCACTCACTATTCCCCCACAGGATCCAGCTCTAGTCCCCTGAAGCCACATGGAGGCTTACAACTGTCAGTTCCGGGGAGTGACACTTTCTGCTGTCCTCCATGCTCACTAGTCACAGGCTAGTCGTGTGTGTGTGTGTGTACCATGTTTGCGTGTATGTTTAGGCAATCTTCCAAGCACACATAATAAAAAGACATAAATGTAAAAACTTTTAACAACATTCAGCCATTTGCTAGAAGCACACATCTAGGGAAAGAGCTCTCGGAGCACAGAAAACAATGAACTGCTTGCTGAGTGGAGCCTACCACGCAGGGGCGCAGGCGGGCGGAACACTGAGCTGGAGGACAGCCCGCACGCACTGAGCTCCACACTTGCAGAATGGCAAGAGCCCATCGAACACAAAAAGTTACCCAATTACTTAAGCCAATGTGAAGTCTAAATCCAGTCAGAGAGACAACCCAAGACAGTCGAGTTAAAGCAGACATGAGGCAGTCGGCCTCGGGCTGGGAACCACGAAGGTGTCCAGTTGGGGTCTGAGGTAATCAGTGTGATGAAAGGGTGGTGCAGAGTTACCAGGTCACATGGGGATGGCACGAGGAGGAGTTAGGATGTCTCTGCAGAGACTTGATTAGCAGACAGCTGATGGTGAATAACTGGGCCAAATATAGGCAAGAGCAAGAGAAGGCTCATGAGACGATGCGGCTGCTGTGGCCTGAGTCCACACATACCATCTCCTTCACCAGACTGCCTGCTCCTCAGCGCAGAGCCCACCCAGCCACCCTGCTGTGCGCTGTGGCTGCGGAGCTGATGGGGGCCTCCGGTGACCAAGGGCAGAGTGGCATGAGCAGGATTTGATGGCCATCTACAGTAGCAGGACGGAGTCGTTTCCAGACCCACAGCATCAGGGAGCCTAAACAGCAGCCCTGCTGCACACAGCCTGGACCACCAGAACCCTGGGTGGCCTGGGCCTCTGGACACCCAGCTCCTCGGCTCTTGTCCTACAGTAAGTCAGGCTCGCAGAATGCACACAGTGAATGGGAAATAAAAAGTAATTCTGGAGACTGTTGAGGGAGAAATGAACTTTAAAAGTCTTTAAAAAACTTTAAAATTATTGTACACCCATGCTCAGGAGGATGGCACGCTCAGGAGGCTAGGGAAGAGGACGGCCTGTTTTAGGCCGCCCAGTCTACATCACAAGACCCTGCCTTCAAAAAGGAAAGACAGTCACCATGTCCACCAAACATGTGTGCTTGGCGAAGCAGCATTCCCAGAAACTTCCCAAGTTCTGTCTGGTATCAAACAGGGCCTGACCCCTAAGCGGTTTGGTTATGTCCGTGGATTTGAAGGGAACTGTTTGTTTAGAGCTCCTGTGCTAAACCTGCTTATGATTTTCATCTGAAGTCAGATTGCCATGGTTTTGGCACATTCCTGTTGACTTAGCAAAACTCGATCCTTGTGAAACTGGCTGCAAACGAAGCCCCTAATTCAGGATCTAGGTGTAATCTGATTAGGCCTTCTCGTGTTATAATAATAAGCACTGAGCGCTCGGCATTTTATTCTTTTCCTCCTGTGTGTGTGTGTGTGTGTGTGTGTGTGTGTGTGTGTGTGTGTGTGTGCTGCTCTCTCTCTTTCTCCCTCTTCTCTCTCTCTCAGCTCAGAATAAACAGGGAGCTGTTTCCTGGCATCACACCAGACCTTTCCAAAGCGTAGGATTGTGTCTGAGGTGTGCCGCACACAGAGCTCCAACAGGCTGTGGCTTGCCCCAGTTTACAGCAGTGAAGAGCGGGTCCCTTGTGTCCAACAACCTTCCTGGATGTGCACCAACAAGTGTGTGGATTTTATCTTTTTCTGTTACTTCAATACATGTCACTGTGCTGGTAAACACACCCATGCCATCTGGTGGGCTGAAAGAAAGGCAGCTTCTACGAACATGAGTGCCGTGTCCTCTGTTAGTTCCGTCCAGCCAGGTGTGAGGAGAAAGACATTCTGTGTTCTGCTCTTTGACTTCTCGCCACCGTCTCTCTCACCACCGTCACTCTCTTCCCTTGGTCCTTCTTTCCCTCTAGCCCTACTCCTCCCTCGGCCTCCATCTTTTCGGAGGGTTAAGAAGCGGTCCACAGGTGCCTGGCAGACTCTTTGGTAGGGTCCTTAGAGTGACTTGCAAAAATCTGGAAAGGAACATGCTTTGTGGGGAAAGAAAGAACGTTTGGGGGGACAGTTGGCCTCACTAGGCTGATCGGGGACCACCCTGCAAACGAACAGCCTCGCTGAGGGATCATCATGGTGGCCTGAGCTGCCCTCTCAGATCTGACAGCTGGATGACAGAATCAAGGCCTCTGAGGAAAAGTTTCTTCAGGTCTCCCTGACGGTCACCCAGTGCTCTGTGTCGTGCCTGATTCCCGACTTCCCAGGGCTTTCAGACAAGGTTGGAATGGACCGGAATTTTCCAAGACTCTTCCCAAAGTCCCCTCAACCGATCGATACTCCGTGCCATGGGCTCCTGGGTGCAGTGGACCAAGGCTAATAAAACTGTCCTTACCCATAAGCCACAGTACTACGTGACTGGGTCTGCACCAGGCACCAAGGCATGCTACGATTTCAGAGCCTGGATTCCTGTCACCTGGGGAGGAGACATGCTTGGTGATGTAAGGGAGCAGAGAAATCAACCATCCCGAGACCTGCAGCCTCCGATAGGAAGGGAGAAAATCTGTGTGCAGTTGGTTCAATTGGCACCCATTAAAGCTAATAAGTAATCATCCTCGAGAGTTCCTAGCTCAGAACGACGAGATCTGCAAAGAAAACACCACCCGTCCACTTTTACACTCCAGTGGAAGGGGCGGTCCCTCGCGGCGGGGCGGCACAGTCGCCATCTGGAGAATAAATCGAGTGTGAAGTACAGTATAGTTTGGGACCAAGCTCCGTGGCGGCGGCTCAGCAGTCAGTTCATTAGCCCCAAACTTCCAGGGATTAGAGGGGCATCAATTCTACTGTTGGGATAGGATGAGACAGACAGGGCACGGGACTCAAGAAGCATCAGACAACCAGGACCCCTCTCGGGCTTATTTACAGACTCACAACGGATAAACACGGGCCAAGAAGTGCCTTGACTGGCCGCACCATCACCGTCCCCAACATCTGAATTAGCACCTTCCCTCGCTTGTCCACGCCCCAAACTGTGAACATTAAAGCACACGCTTTCCTGGGATGGGGGTGGGGGGTCTTTCCACCCCATGCTGAGGTCTGGTAATTAAGAAATAGGAAGGACCTTCTAGACCTGGGGAGATGTACAGCATATGTAATAAAAAACATATCAAATTAGTACTTTCATTTCATAAAGATGAGTGCCATTCCAGTGTTACAAAGCACTAGTAAATTTTACCTTTTCTAGATTGGCCCATCCTAACCCATTTCCATTTCATCTCATTGGTCAAGTGAGGTCACAGGAATGACTTCTTCCAATTTTCGAGCATAAAATTTCCAAAGTCTCAAAACAAACAAACAAACTATATATAAATAAAATAAAAACAATAAAATAAAAAATTCAAAGTCAATTTTAGTTTAAATCAAAACAAAAAAAAAAAAAAAAACCTTTGAGTGAACTGTTCTATTCAAATACTTCATTTTTCATCTGCTTTGTGGGCATTTATGGCAAAACGCAGAAATGCCTGTTACACAAAAGAGGTCATCACAGGGTACCATACTGCGTT